GCGAGTGAGAGAGAGTGCGAGTGAGAGAGAGTGCGAGAGCGAGCGAGAGAGCGAGAGAGCGAGAGAGCGAGCGAGCGAGCGAGCGAGTGAGAGAGAGCGAGTGAGAGAGAGCGAGTGAGAGGGCGAGGGGGCGCAAGAGAGAGAGAGCGAGTGAGAGAGAGTGCGAGTGAGAGAGAGTGCGAGTGAGTGTATGAGAGTGAGAGAGTGAGAGAGCGAGAGGGCGCGCAAGAGAGAGCGAGTATGAGAGTGAGAGAGAGAGAGAGTGAGTGAGTGAGTGAGTGAGTGAGTGAGAGAGTGAGAGAGTGAGCGAGTGAGCAAGCGAGTGAGTGAGAGAGAGTGAGAACGAGTGTGTGTGAGTGTGTGTACGCGTTTTTGTGACAAATGAGGACATACATTTGTATAATGACAAAGGTATGACATAGGTATTACAAGGAGAAAGTGACTTTTCAGGACATTACCCCATGTCCCCACTTTTCAAAACGCTTATAAATCACACAGAATGGAGTGTATTGAAAATCTGAAATGGCACAAAGTCTCCTGTGAGGGGTAGGTTTAGGGGTAGGGTTGGTGTAGGGCAATAGGTCTGTACGTCTGTACAGAAGAAAAACCATTACGACTATGGAGAGTTCCCACAAGGATAGCAAACCAGACATCTGTCTGTGTGTGTGTGTGTGTGTGTGTGTGAGTGTGAGTGTGAGAGAGAGATTTCCATGGACCCTGCGGCTGTTGGTTTGTACCCCACCCAGCTAACGGTGTTATTTGAGACACACATCCAGTCAGTTAACAGCAGTACTGTGAGCCAAATAGTTACAATAATAAAACCACTCTGAGCTTCAGTCACAGTATATTGTAGAGAAATAGAACTGGTCATTAATAGGTCAATTTGATAGACAGGTTATAGGATTTTTTTTATATATATATATTTATTTAATTTAATTTTTTTTATATATATAATTTTGTCCTGAAAGTCTCTGGACTTATAATACATAACATTATAAAGACTTATTATTTATGCACTTCCTGTCATGTCTTGAATGTCTCTGGCCTTTGTTCACGATTAATAATGGCAAACTTATTTATTTTGAAAATATTTCAAATAAATAAAAATGTTTATGCTATAAGTATTTTCTATATATTTATCTAGATTAATAGATAAAGTAAACAATCTTACAATATATTTATTTATAATAAAGATTTAATTTTATGTATTTTTTGTCTTGAATCAATTGACTTTATAGTACAAATATAGTTTATCAATTAATAAAAATGTGAATGATTATGCAAACAATATTTCATCAAAATAAATGAACAAAAAAAGCTTGATTATAAATAAATGTGTATTTTCTGTCGGTCCTGAATTTATCAGGCATTAAAGTTCATGATAAAATCATTGCACAGAAAAAAAAAAATCAAACAAACAAATAAAACGGTTTATGCTAAAAAATATAATTTATTCTACATTTCAATATTTAATTTAGATATAAGGTTGCAGAAAAAAGTCTTACAAAATAAATGTATAATAAAGATTGAATTATGTATTTTCTGTCTCAAATTTCTCTGGCTTTATTGTACTTGATTTATCATTGCTCACATGATTTTATTTATCTATTTTTTATTCATTTTGATGAAAGGTTACAAAAAATAATGTTTCATCAGAATTAACAAGTGAACACAAAAATCTAAAGAAATGATAAATACATTTGTCTTGAATTTGTCAGGCATTACAAATATTTCAGGCAAATATTTCAAATAAATGAAAATGTTTATGCTACGAATAAACTTATTTTGATGAAAGGTTGAAGGAAACAATCTTACAAATTAAATACATTTTTAAATAAATTTAATTATGCACTTTGTGTCTTTCTAGAATCTGTCTGGCTTTATAGTACTTGATTAATCATTGTACACATGGTTTTTCTATTTATTTATGTTGATGAAAGATTAAAGAAAACAATATTTCAAATGTATTCATAATAAAGATGTTTTAAAATTCATTAGGTGTTTTCCGTCAGTCTTGAATTTGTGTTTTGTGTTTGAATTGTTGACAGTAACACCAGGAATGTGCATTAAGTCCATAAGGTTCATGTTGACTAAGTTCATAACATACATGAATGGGTGTGTCAGTGAACTACACTGAGTGACCTACATTCACACCACACTCATTAACCTCTGGGTTTTATCCGAGGTGTGTGTGTGTGTGTGTGTGCGCAAGTGCGAGTGAGTGTGCGAGTGAGTGTGTATTCACCGTGCTGTTGGCGGGCTGATCAACAGGAGAGCCGTTATCATAGACGATGGTGGGCTGGCATCGTCTCAGAGGAGCCGAGGATTCACCGCACAGAACACCAGACGCTTCTCCACCTGAGACGACAGAACAACACACATCAGACCACAGACACCAGTGCATATCACATTACCAATAAATACAATAGAAAGAAACGTATTAAAAAGGAGTAAAAAAAACTAAGGCTGTGCGTCCAGTTGGCATTTGTGTTTGACTGCTCCGGGTGTGTGTTCACTGCTGTGTGTGTGCGCACTTTGGATGGGTTAAATGCAGAGCACTAATTCCAAGTATGGGTCACCATACTTGGCCACATGTCACGTCACTCACTCACTCAAATCACTTCTGCTGCATGCATTTACATTCATTTAAAATTCAATCATCATGTCAGAAATATTTTCCATATTGCTGGTCCATGGTAAATGTTCACGACTTTGCTTTTAAGGTCATTTTGTAGAATTAACAATTGTGGTTCAACAATAGGTCACCGCTTGATGTCTGAAGTACAATCTGAGTCATGAAACATCACGCTGACATGTTTTCTGGAATCAGATGCTGTGATAAACAAGACACATTTGCAACAGGTCTGTTTGATGTGGGAGGAATACAGCCGCCGGCAACCTGAATGAGCTGCTATTACCACAGACCACACACACACACACACACCTCTCAAGGCTTTGAGGAGTGTTTGAGCGACGCGACCCTGAGGTCAGAGTCCTCAACACGTCGAGAAGAACAACAGCAGCCGCTTGCATTTCAACACGCAAGAAACAAAGAGCTTTCGGTTTGATGGACAAAAAAAACAGCATCCTATTGTGAGTCAATGGAGTGATTATAAACGTCAAATGAGCTCAACGGTAACAAACGCTCTCCTTCAGCAGTCTTTGTTCAGGACGTGCTTTTCACTATACCGTTTCAGAGTCATGAAACGAAGCAGATATATGAAACTAAATATGAACGTCACACTTAGATTTGGATAAAGGGACAGAAAAAAAAAAAAAAGCAGGTGAAAAAAATAAAAGGACGAAAAAATTAAAGAAAAAAGAAAAATACAAAAAAAAAGGGGGAAAATTTAATAAATAAATATAAAAAGAAAGAACTTAAAGAAAACAAGATGACAAAACCACACTGTAAAGTAATTTTGAGATTTTGCAATATAAACTAATTTTTTTTTGTAGACATGGCTAAATTTTTTATAAATTGGCCCTCAACTAAGCTGAAATTTGAATGAACCAGTATAACTGTTGTTTCAAATCAAAAACACATGTTGAAACCACTGCATCACACCGAAATAAAATTAAGATAATAAAAAGTTAAGGCTGCAGGGTAACAAAGTTTTTTTAACAACAAATTGTTTACAGTGTAAAAAAGGGGGGGGGGGACAAAAAAGAAAAAAAAAAGACTGTACAAAACTTTCAGTCAGTGAACTTGTCATCGCATGAAGCACCATGAATGATGTGAATCAAAAACAACAGTACAAAATAAAACAGCTAAATAAAATTTGCTAAATGTTCAGAAATGTCCAAATGCGCAAGTAATTCAGGACTGCTGGGAGACGGGCTCGATGACATCACTCAGTGTTTCATGGGAGCGTCCCGTCACGGCTGAGCCATTTCGTGGTGACTCCTGTTTCCATGGTAACAGTGATTCTACAGGATTATGGGAAGTGGAGTTTTCCACAGGAAAAAATATTAACAAAGCCGCTTTAAGGCAAGCCTTCAAGGTTAGCAAAAAAAGCATAACGCTGCAACACACTGGCAAGGAGACAAGAAGCTGCTTCTTTAAACGGATGCCAGTGGAGGAGAGGCTTCACCGAATAAACTGCTTATGTGGCTAAAAAGCTTATTTAATGAATTGACAGCCTATCGGCTTATCTTCAACATGTTCTCCAATGAACATCTGCTTTGGATTGATCCATTTTTAGTTTACACAGGAAAAAACAGCTGTTTTATAAGAGACGTCATGGACAATTTCATGGTCTATTAAAGGGGTCATATGATGCGATTTCAATTTTTCCTTTCTCTTTGGAGTGTTACAAGCTCTTGGTGCATAAAGAAGATCTGTAAAGTTGCAAAGACTAAAGTCTCAAAACCAAAGAGATATTCTTTATAAAATTTAAGAGTCAACCACGCCTGCCTAAAACGGCTCGTTCTAACACGCCCCCACATATCTACGTCACTATGTGGGAAGATTTGCATAACACCGCGCAAATGTTCACACAAAGAAAGGCGGCGTAACTTTTATCCTCACTGTAGTATTGTTGTTGCCATTGCCGCCATGTTGTGGAGACGCTGTGTGTTTCGTTGTGAAAGCGAAACTACTTTGGCCTTCCCAAAAAAAAACACAAGTATGATATCTGCTTCGTCATGCCTGGAGCTGATCCATGCTGAGAAAAAACACCAACTTCGCGCTGTGTATCGCCGGATCAGCTTTCACCGTGGACGAAGCAGAGTGCAGCCCGGGGTCGTCACATGTGGTTGCCACAAGCATCCTTTGTCGAGTCCGCCGGCCGCCGCTCACTCTAGTCCGCAGTGTGTGACGCATTTTATGGAGGACTGTTTCCTGAACCTGCAGTTCTGCATAGCCTACAATGGGTCTGTGCTCAAAGGCAGTTTCTATAAAGGTTGGCAGTTCCAACAGTTTGGTGCTTCCGACTCACAGCCTGTAAGTACATTTTTTATATTTAAAGAATTTGCCACTGATGATTCAAATGTGAGTTTTGAGCAGTGTAGAGTAGGCTTGTTTTTTGTTGTTTCTCCGATCACAAATGCAGACATTGTTTTATGTTTACGCGGCGCGATGCAATGCGTAAAAAGACAGTACAAGTCATTATAATCAGTAATTATGTCCCCACTGGATGCAACAAATGCCTCGTTTATAATGTGTTTTAATGTTTTTGTCTCGTCGCTCTGGCCGGGACAGGGCATCACAGTATGGTAAGGGGCTTAACATTTCCATCACACGCTTGAGGTATTCGGCCAATCACAACGCATTGGATAGCTGGCCAATCACAGCACACCTCGCTTTTAGAAAGGCGGGGCATAGAGGAGAAACAATAATGTACAGTATGTGGAAAATAATGTTTTTTGAACCTTAAACCTCAAACATTTCATTACACCAAATACACATCAATGTTCTTTTTAGCAACGTCATATGACCCCTTTAATAAAACATCAAAAAATATGCTTATTTTATTACACTTTACAATTTTTGCCTGTAGATTTCAATTATGATGCATATCTTTCAAGGCTATGAGTTTGTTTCACCAATTCAGCAGCATTTATATTCACCAAATTTAACGGTTTTATTTCTATATATATTCTAAAGGTTTTTACAGAGGGGTTTGTTCATACATCATTCGCTTAATTTTATTATTGCACTTTATCTATTTGTGTCTGTACATTTCAATTACATATCTTTATAGGCATTTTTCACAAAATTAGTTTGTTTCTCCATTTCAACAGCACTTACATACACCAAATTTCACAGTTTTATTCCGATCAATATTCTGACGGTTTTTACTGTGGGTTTTTTTTATATATCATTTATATAACCTTTTATTCCAAAAAACATGATGAAAATGACTTTTTTCTGGCCGTTGATAGTTTTTTCTGATTTACAGAGCGATAAAAAAAGAGATCAAAAATCCCCTCAGTAAAAACCCTTTTCTCTAACATGTCAGCAAAATAAAATAAGACTTTTGAACCTGGCTTTATTCAGTGTTCGGATTAATTCTCTGAAAATGTTTGCAAATTAGTGTACATTTAATTAGAAATTTGCTTATTAAACAACATTTCAGTAATAAATCAACTGTCTCAAATGTACTGTGATTAATCATCTGGGGAAAGTATGATGATATTCATTTGTTACATTTGTACCCTATTCACCCTTGATGTCTTGCATTAATTGAGAAAAATGCAATGGGATTTTAACTTCCAGAACTGACTGTTATGCTCCATTAGCGGACAAAAAAACTAATGAAAAACTAAAACCCCTTACAAAACACAATAGACAATCACAAAGGCATCCTGCCAGACACAACAGCAGCACATTCAATCAGACCAACACTATAAACCCACAGATCGTACACTCATGCATAATGTACATAAAAAGCCCAAGAGTTTTCCCTAAAGTCACTATGCAATATTCATATCCGTCATTTACAATCTCCAAGACCTGAAGATCATGGCATCAAATCTTTTGAAAGGCATTCAGTTTTTTGGGACACTTAGATGTGCTTATGCATATCTAGTTTGCTTGCTACTGAATTTTCAAGCTTTGTTTTCTGAGTTACGGCTGTAAAATAACCAGACGCCCCAAATGCTACAGCGGGATTCAACATCTCAGACGAGAGCCAGGCAAACGCCTTTAGAGACAGAATAACCAGATATACGAAGGACACCTGCCCAAGTGAAGCATTAGCGCTGAATAAAAGCTCAGATTATCCCCATACAAGCGTTTATCCGTATACGAGCTTGTGCAGGGCTAATGGTGCAATTGCCGGCTGAATTCACAAAACAATACGCATTTCTTTTCCAGAAAATAAAGATGCTGTCAAACTCTGCACATCTAAACACAGAGGTGCCTTGCTGTCTACATAGGCAGCTCCCTTCTGAGGCAACATCCTACATAAGTGACGGATTTGGAGCAGCATGTGTGAAGCACATGGGAGACGCGATTTCAGTAGAGTTTGACGAGTTGCTAAACTAACAACATGTTACTTTAAGCATCTAGACACAGTACTGGCATTGGGGAAATAGTTTTAAATTATTAAATAAAATTCAGGTGTATTTATAAGTCAACATTTCCCTTCACTGTGTAAAACAGACTCTGCTGCACTGGATGTTTCATCATGATTTCACACACTATAATTTCCTACATCATGAGTCACTTCCTGAATCAGTGGGCAGTCAGGATATTTGTCCAGGAAATGACATCATGCCAAAGACATGTCGTCTGTGAACACAGCAAGTGTTAGTGAGGGCAGATAACTTTAAGTTAACCCTGAAAAAGCTTTCAAATGCAGGTTCTAAACACCGAACTCCAGCTAAAATCACCGCATGCTACATCAGTTTACACTGTTGCGTATCTGACCAAAAAAACTAAAAGTCACATACTCTCTATGTGCTGATAGACGAGAGAAAGACACAGAACCCGTTTTAAAGACAGGCTAAAGGTGTATTTTGTTATCACTTCATTCAAAACCATCACATTTTTTTTTTTAATTGATCTAAAGTGACTAGGGATGTAACGGTATGAAAATTTCATATCACGATTATAGTGACCAAAGTTATCACGATTATCAATATTATCACGGTTTTGTTCAAATTAGATGAAAACGTTCAAAAAGAACTGATACACAAACTGAAAACATTTCAATAAGTTTTATATTTGAAAATCAACAAACAACAAATACAATTAGCAGCTATATGCACTTTTTTTTTTTTAGCAAAAACATTAAAATGAAGCCCTAATAATAATAAAAATCACTTTTGTGTGTGTGTGTGTGTGTGTGTGTATGTATATACAGTGGGTACGGAAAGTATTCAGACCCCCTTAAATTTTTCACTCTTTGTTATATTGCAGCCATTTGCTAAAATCATTTAAGTTAATTTTTTCCCTCATTAATGTACACACAGCACCCCATATTGACAGAAAAACACAGAATTGTTGACATTTTTGCAGATTTATTAAAAAAGAAAAACTGAAATATCACATGGTCCTAAGT